AAGCAAGACATTCATTAAAGGGAGGACTTGGTACACTAGAGGAAAGTGTTCTACCAACAGAGACACATCTCTCAATATAAATCTTCAGTGCATTTTGGCTAGAATTAAATGCATTTTAATTTCATAAGGAAATAACTAAAAGAAACTGTATTACTTTTTATATATGTTTTTGGTGTTTTAGGCAGTTTAAATGTTATTCACTTGTCTAGGTAGAATACTAACTTTAAATTACCTTTACTGCTATTCTATTAATATTAAATTTAAGTGCTCTCAATGATCATCTCTGAAGGGGTCCATGATGGCAAGTAAAATACACAATAGGGAAATCTATATCAAAACCAAGCTCTGCCTGCTTCTGCCTCCCAAGTTCTAGGATTAAAGGCGTGAGTCCAGCCCTCTCACTTTCTGTTTTTTGAGACAGTCTCATGTAGCACAGGGTAGCTTCATACTTTCTGTGCAGCTGAGAATGACACATTCCTGATCTTCTTGTCTCTACTTTCTGAATGCTGGGGTTATATTTATGTGTTAGCATATCTAGTGTTACGTAGTGCCAGGGATCAAACCCAGAGCTTCATGCATACTACGCAAGCACTTTAGCTACATTTTTGTTCAGTTTTTGTTTTGTGTGTATTTTTGACCCTGGGGTATTTCTGTATAGCTCTGATTGTCCTGTTAATTTATTAACAGACCAAGCTGTCCTTCTGCCTAAGCCTCCTGTATTCTGGGATTACAGGTACATGTTATCATGCCTGACTCTGGTGAAACTCCAAGCCTTTATTTCTTTATAAAATACTAATTAAAGTTATCAGATCTCACCTCAAATGATTATTGTACTAAGTGAAAAATATAAGGACCTCATCAGAATATTTAATAAGACTTCAGCTAACATTCATGGAGAGAAGTGATTTCCCCATTTCATAAGCCAAGATGCTAGGATTTCACAACAATAAAACACCATACTCTAAGCAAAAACAATGTGAATAAGCTGTATTATATACAATAATGTAAAAGTTATATATCTCTAAATTATATATGTACATAATATACATATCTGCTGTAGTATTAATAAATTCTCTCGGGAAAGATAATGATGAAACAATACTTCTGAAGAGTTTTTGGAATGTATTCTGTGCTTCTATAATCACTTAAAAAATTTTTTATGTATATAGATGTTTTACCTGCATGTATGTCTGTGTATCACATCTATGCCTTGTGCCTGTGGAGGTCACAGCAGATGCCCTGAAACTAATTGTGAACCTCCATGTAGAAGTTGGGAATAGAACCTGTGTCCTCTGGAAGAGCAGGCAGTGCTCTCCAGCCCCTTATGTATAATAGCTCTATACTTACACTTAGAAAGAAAAAAAGAAAAAAAGAAACTAACTCCATTCTCAGCATTCTTTTCTTCTCCCCCTATTTACTCTACAACTATGCTATTCTGTCTTCTATCTCTATCTTGCCAGTCAAGCAAATTGTGTCACAATCTCCTCTGATAATCATGTTGACAGTCATGTTCACTATCCTTGCCTTTCTAGACCTCACAGTATTGAAACTCACAAGTCACAGCTGGACTTGAAATGCTGTTTTCCTCCTTAAGCCCATGACACCACCTACTCTCTGATTTGTCTTCCTGCTAACTCACTGGTGTAACCTGCTGAGACTCTTCTACTTATTCCTTCTACCTCTGCAGCTTGATCTCTTGTTATTCACTCTCTCTAAAGACATCTCTTTCATCTCATAACTGACAATACTATCTCCTAGTCAAGGACTCTTCACCCTTCCTTGAGCATCTTGAACCTAACATTGCCCAGTGATAACTACTCATTCTCTTTACTCCCTGAGGTACTATAATGAGGCAAGGCAGTACAGAGGTTCCTTCATCTTATCTTCTTGCTGAAGCCATTCCATGTTTAACTACAATTTCATCTCCTGGACCGTGAATCCCATGGAAAACAACCCAACTCCATTCTAGGAACCAAATGTCAGGATGTCCTAGCTAACTTATCTTAGCCTTTGTTAAAACTGCCTGTTTGTGAGGGACCCCCTCCAGCTAACTGTTTATCTTAGCTGCCAGTTTTTGAAAAATCCCCTCCAACTAACCACTTAGCTTCTGTTAAATTGCTTGCTACAAGCTGCTTACTTCTTCAAAATGGCCCCCTCTACCTACTGAACAAGGTGCCAGGGTGTAGTTTCAGCCTTTAAAAACCCTATGTACTGGATGGGAGTAGGGATGGTAAGGGGGATAACTCAGATCCCTGAACACTTGGATGTGGTCTCAGTCTGCCGGAATAAAGACTTTCAATTGAGTATACACTGTGTCTAAGTGATCTGAGGGGGCCATCTCTGGTGAGCTCTCTTCAACACTATCCTAAAGGAAATGTTACTATCTATTCAGTTCATTTTCTTTTTCTAAAGACTGACTTTTATTTTATGCATCAGTATGAGTATTTTGCCTACATGTATGTTAAGTGTATTGTGTGCATACCTGGTGCTTGCAGAGGCCAGAAGAGGGCACAGGCCCCCTGGAACCAGAGTTATAGATGGCTGGAAGCCAAACCCAGATCCTCTATAAGAGCAACAAGCGAGCCATCTCTCAACTTTCTCCCTCTCCTCCTCCCCCCATTTTGGATTTATGAGATGGGGTTTCTCTGGCTGTCCTGGAACTCACTCTGTAGACCAAGGTGTCCTTGAACTTAGAGATCTGCCTGCCTCTGTTTCCTGAGTACTAGGACTAAATATGTGTATCACCACCTCCCACCTGGGAATCCCTCAGTTATTAAAATAATAGCCTAAGAGTCAGTAAATCTATAGAGTAGACGCTTCAGATACAGCTGGTTAAAAATACAACTCTGTTTTTTATTGTTTGTAGCCATAAAATCTTGGGCAAGTTAGGACTTTTAAGAAAATTATAAGCCTTAAAATAAGTAAGAACACTCAGTTCTAAGTCAATTGCCCCACAGTTAATTTACAAGGATCACTATTCCTCATTTCAAATTCCCAACAAATAAAATCCTATTGTCAGTTCCCCTGTTTCTGTCTACTTCTCTTCATCTTATTGCCATTGCGTCCTTCATCCAGACCACTCTCACTTTCCTATTGTTAATGCTCCCTCACGATTTCCACTCTGATTCTGTTCTTTCTCTAACAAATCTCCACAATGCAGTCAGCATAAATCTTTAAAACATAAACCAGAAATAATTCCTGCACTCAAGTACTGTAGTTTCTTCCCATTGTACTTAAGTTTCTAATTCAAATTCTTTTCCTTGGTCTTAAAGGTCATAATCTCAATCATATATTATAATATCTGTGGCATTTATAAAATTATTCCACCTTGAACTCCGAAATATTTAAAGTATACCAAGCCAGTTACCTGGCTTGGTGGTGTTGTTGTTTTTGTTAAGAATAAAGTCTTGGCAGGCAGATCTCCATGAGTTCAAGGCCAGCCTGGTCTACAGAGTAAGTGCCAGGACAGGCTCCAAAGCTACACAGAGAAACCCTATCTCAAACAAACAAACAAACAAACAAACAAACAAACAAACAAACAAACAGAAAAACAAAAAACCCAAAAGAATACAGTCTTGGGGCTGGAGGGATGTCTGCTCTTCTAGAAGTCCTGAGTTCAATTCCCAGCAACTACATGGTCTCTCATAGCCATCTATAATGAGACCTGGTGTCCCTTCTCTCATGCAGGCATGCAGGCAGAACACTGTATATATAATAAATAAATATTATAAAAAGTTTTCAGGATTAAAAAATGAATAAAATCTTACAGGGACCTTAAATTTACAGAGATCACCCATTTCTGACGGCTATCATACCTGGCTAAATACCATTTTCTTATGAAAACAGACCACTAGAAAGCAACTGACTTTAATTTTATCCAGGTATTTAAATATGTTTTACATGTGACAGTTTTTTTCTTCAGGAAGACATATAAAATAGGCAAAAATGTATTCAAGAAATACTTGTGGAACCCATGTATGGTGCCTCATTTCTGCAATCCCATTACTTAAGAAGCTGAAACAAGACTGTAAGTTGTAAGCAGGTCTAGGCTACATATCAAACTCCTAAGCCAAAAATAAATAAATAAATAAATAAATGAATGAATAAATAAATAAAGTGTTTTGTTGTTTTTGAGACAAGGTCTCTCTATGTATTCCTGGCTGTCCTAAACTGTTCTGTAGATCAGGCTGGCCTCAAACTCACAGAGATCCTCCTGCCTCTGCTTCCAGAGTGCTAGGAATAAAGACATGCTCCTAAAATATATTTTTTAAAAAATTCTTTACAATTAAAAAGGTCTGTGTCTATGATTAAATGAGTGAATCAAAGACAATGTTTGGAAACTAGGTGTCACTGTCCAACAGTGATCATCAAGACTTCCTTTCTGTTTTATGAACTAATTCCTTAAAAAGACAAGAGCGCCAGCACCTCGGCAAACTTGTTCTATGAATGACAGCCTAGACTCACAGATGACCCCTAGCCCTTATAAGAACCACATGATCATAATCCCTTACATTGTCTTCCCTCTAGCTTTTAACCACAATTGTCAACCAAATTCAAATATACTGTTTTAAATGAAATTGGATTCAATTTCCTCACTAAGATTGTGGCAGACAGTTTTACAAGGAGAGAAGTGACTCATAAATGAAAGAAAGTAAAAGAGAAAAAAGGATCCAGAGAGTCAATTATGGATGAGAAAGTTTTCTATCTGGAAGCTTGACACTCTAAATGTGTACAAGTTTGTAATTCTAACACTTGGGAGGCAGAGGCAATTCAAGGCCAGCCTTGGCTCCATGACTCTATCTCACAAAAACAAAGGAAAGAAAGATATGCACATTGCATAGTTCTTAAGTGGACAAATATAAAATACCTTCAGAGTTCTATCAACCTAAAAATTTTTAAGACAAATAAAAATACTCAAGTAAATGAATGACCAAGACAACTTCTTAAACTGCCAGTGTCCAAGCTAGTGGCACTGCTGTAACCTAGAAATGGGGTATTACCTTTGGGATATCGCCTTTAATACCTGGGGGCAGCCGCAGGATCCAGAAGTTCCTGTTTCTCAACAAGTTCTCCAGATTCTCCAGGCGCCGCTGCAGCAGCCCATACTCCTGCAGCAAGGTCCCCAGCACTGCCCCCTTGCCATCCAGCTGGTTCCCAAGCTCAGTCATTGTCTTTTCACAGCTGGTTAGTTTCTTCTCTGTTGTCCCTGTCCTGCCTTCTAGGTGGAGGAGTCGGCGGCTGTGGACTTCCACCTTCCTCTCTATGGCCTGTACAGCAGCCACCACTGTCCACAGGGAGATGGCTGCAGTCTGCAGGTGTGCCTCATTCACTGCTGGAGGTGTAGGAAGAGGAAGGGGCTGCAGGGATGTAAGGCATTCCGAGTCCCATTCAGAAGTCTACGTGCAATGGAGAGATAGGGCAAGACATTGAGAGTTAGAAGGAATTCTGACTCTAAACCACAACCAGAAAAGAACTTAATTTCCCAGCTGATAATAACTAAAATAGTTTCAGTATAGCTTTACAGTGCCTATGTCAATCTTGTATTCTGAAGCCTGTTGGCATTGGAAGCAAGGGAACTGTTTTGGTGGGTTCAAGAATGGACTGGGAAAGATATCGAATAAATAAATTGGCTTCTTAAGGCCAGCCTGGCTCATTTCTCTAATAAAAGGCCAGGCTGCTGCTTACTCCTCTGGAAAAGGCAAACGTACATACACAAGAATTCTCACCAGGTTTTACTGGCCTTAGTGCTCTCTGACAAATATCTTAAGAATTTATACTCTAGCCCTGTCAATCACTCGGTTTATACACTACAACTATACCAATTGTTAATAATTGAACAGGCAGAGAAAATAATTGAACAATCTAGAGAAAATAGGACAACTATTTTCAAATATTCCAGGGTTATAAAACTGAAGGGAGAACAGGTTTGTTTAATGTTATACTATAAAAATACAAAGAACACACTAGAAAAATACATGGAAATTTTCAGGATGGTAACAATGTTTAATTCTCTGAACCTGAACCTGATAAACCACTCTAGTCACTTCTATTCCCACTTCATGAACTGTCATATTCTCATTTCATCTGATCTCCAATGCATTAATAACAACTCTAGCCCTGTGACAATTCCATTTGCTCCTGGCCTACCACCTGTACATGCTTTGCTTTCTTCCCTCTTCAATCCATTTCACTCATGTCTCTAATACCTCACTTCTTCATCTGACCTCCTACTTTCAATGTGTTGAATCATTCACTTTTTTTTTTTTTTTAATTCTACAAGTAGTCAAGTGAGATCTACAAAAAGAAAATCAAACAACCATGAGAGATGCTGTCAGCATACACCAATTGTCAATGCTCAGTGCCTGGAGGTGCAAAAGGATCACTAGAAAAGGCTGGGCAATCAGCCAGTGAGGTACCATAGTAGATAAAGGCACTTGTAGTCAAGCTTGATTATCTGAGCTCAATTTCTGGGACCCAAATGGTGAAAGAAGAGAATCAACTCCCTCATATTATCCTCTGCAGTGAGGAAACCAAGTCAGGAAGATTGTTGTGAGTTTGAGTTCAGTCTGGGCTACCTTAGTGAGTACCAAGCCGGCAAGGGCTATAATAGCAAGACCTTAATTCCAAGTCTCAATGCAAAAACAAAACAAAACATTGAAAATCCAGCTAAAATATATATTTTCATTCAGTAAATGTGAGGGAAAAAATTGAGATGGTGCACTTTAAGCAACATCTTAGGGGATGGATGCTGCATCTGCTGACCCAGGAAGTACACAGGGAGGACAGAGACTTGTCCAGAAGGGCTACTCTCCAGAGATGACATAGTGTCTTGTTTTAAGAAAACGGCATTTGGGAGGCAGAGACAGGTGGATTATCTGTGAGTTGGAGGCCAGCCTGGTCTACAGAGCTACACAGAGAAACCCTGTCTTGAAAAACCAAAAAAAAAAAAAAGGAAGGAAGGAAGGAAGAAAGGAAGAAAGGAAGGAAGGAAGAAAGAGAGAAAATGGAAGTAAGCCAGGCTATGGTGGTACATGCCTTTAATCCGGCCTGGCTGGGGCTGGAGGCAGATAGATCTCTGTGAGTTCCAGGACAGCCAGGGCTATATAGAGAAATCCTGTCTCTGAAAACAACAACAACAAAAAAAAGGAGATTGAAGAACTGAAGTAATTAGACTTAACTTTTTCTTTACACTTCTTCCCACAACAAATGTATCAGTAACGATACATGCATTTTCTTTCTCAAAGGAGTCTGATTGTATTTATAGCCAGTCCACTTGTACTCTGAATACCAACCAACCCTTTTGCCTTTAAGGTACAAACAAAACAAAACAAAACAAAGGTGCACATGCCTTTGATCCCAGCACCTGCAGAGGCAGGAATACTTCTGTGAGTTTGGGGCCAGCCTGATCTATATATTGGCCAGTTAGGGCTACACAGTGAGATTCTGTCTCAAACAGACTCAATAGTAGTAGTAGTAAATTGTTAGTGAAGTGCTCAATCACAAATGGGGCATCCACACCACTGCTAACCCCCAAGGCTCAGAGACTGTGGAGGAAGAAAGGATACAGATTCTAAGGCCCAAGGTTGGAGTGGAGCGAAACTGTGTTTTGGACACTGCATTCATGAATTCCTATCTACTGTGGCTGCCTGCATAAGATCAAGCTAGTCAACATAATAGCACAGAAGGGAAGAGGAGGTTCATGAGCCCCCCCATAACTGGGGAGCTGTGAACAACTGATGGCATCCGGGGTAGGAAAAGTTCATTTTTAGGGGTGTGGCCCCCAGTAGGTCAACAACATTCCAGTGGATGGCCTAAACTAAGGAGTATATGAGAAGCAAAAATTGGACTCCATGGATCATTTTAAAACCAGACAGAACTGGGCAACCCTGAGAAGGGAAGGAGGAATCTAGGGGTTAGGAGCACCAGTGGGGTGCACATGACTAAAATGCATTCTATTAAATTCTCAAAGAATAAAAATATTTGCAAATCATTTAGATTTATTTGTTTTATGTATATCATGTGCGTGCCTGATGCCCTCTGAGGTCCGATACTCTAGAACTGGAGTTACATATTGCTGTGAGTCACCATGTGAGTGCTGGAACTAAACTCGGGTCCTCTGCAAGAACAGCAAGTGCCCTTAACTACTGGGCCAACTCTCCAGCCCCTAAAAATATTTCTTAAAATTAAAATTAAAAGTATTAGTATCTCCCAATTCTTCCTCAAAACAGACTTGCCCTGGTCAGTAACCATAGCTACTGATACACCATGTGATCAGTGAGGACTTGAAATTTGGTCCGTTAAACTGAGATATGCTGAATATAAAAAACAGTGGTATGAAGACTTAGTATGAAAAGCTATAAAATCTCATCAATAATTTTGTAATATTGATTACTATTGAATATTTGCATACATTAGGCTAAATAACACATATCACTGAAATCAATTTCCTATTTTTACTTTTTTCTTTCTTTTTTAAGACACATAATCTGGTTATTTGGCCAAGGATATCCTAAAATTTGTGATCCTTCTTTCTTAGATTCCCAAATGTGAGCTATGGTTTTACCTCCTAAACATGACTACTTAGAGAATTAAAAGTATGTGCACAGCTTTCAGCATATACTATAGGATACACAATTGTCTCTAATATGTTTTAAATTATTTCTTGGTTTGGGAAAAAAATAAGATCAGGAGTAAGGACGATATTCTCCTCTGTTCTATTCCCCACCCCACCACTCACGTTTCCTTCTTCCTTCTCTTACTTATTTCTCAGCGGACTTGTCTGGCTTCTGACCTACTCAAACGTCTCTCCCGAGCTAACCACAGGCTTCTTAGGTGGCAAACACAAGCAATACTTTCCAGTCTGAACACTGTATTAAACAATCATCCCTTCTTCCTTAATAGCTGTGTGCAAGGACTGTCCGGGTTGCCCTGGTGGTTCTGCCATCTATCCAGTGCACGGCTGGGCCCACTGCAGGCCTGTGGCAAGCAAGGACGCACGACGCCGTCCGTCGTCACGCAGTGTGTTAAGGGCACACCTAGGCTTTTACCTTCGCCCCTCGCAGGTGCCTGACTGTCCTGCTGCAACGACATCTCTCACAGCCATACAGAATGTCTGGAGGATTTAAAAAACACCTCGAGCCCACTTCCCCGTCCTGCAGGCTAACACGAAGGAAGCACCACGACGCGCGTGAGCTAGAAACCTCAGATCCGGGTCCCCCGGTGCTGCAGTCCGCCGTGGCCCTTCAGGGCGGGTGACAGCCGCAGACCCACGCGGGCGATAAGGCCGCGGCCGCCCCCAGCCTCCTTGCTTCCCCCGATACCCAGGTGACAGAGACGCCCGCGCATCGTCGCCCTTACCGGAGCGGCGGTCGCCTCAGCCATGACCCTCCGCTGCCCGATCCGGTCCCGGGAGTCGCCGCCGCACGCAGGCCGGGGTGCTCTGTGCTCTCCGCAAGCGGCGAGAAGCGGTCTGGCGTTGCTCGCACTGACAGAATTCGCGGGGCAATCCGGCTTCCGGCAGCGCAGAGACGCGGAGGATCTGAGTAGCGGGAAGCCTCCGCCACACCAGCTGCAGCCACCTTTCAGCTGGCGCTTTGTGAACAGCGAGTACCGCAAGCGCTGCACCGGCCTAGAGGCGCCCCTCTCCTTCAGTCCTCCTGGGCCAGCGCGCCCCCTGGCGGCTCCAGCATCTGGCGCACCCTTCCAGGGGTCAGCTTCTGGGAAGAGTTTTGGTGAATGAATGCAAACCCCACATACTTAATTGGTTTTCTCATCCACCCAGAACCCCCCCCAAAAAAAATGCTACGTAGTTTAAGGCCGAGAGGGCGGCCTCTGGTCTGGACGCTAGCCCAATCTACTACGAGTGTAGAAATGAGTGAGTTAGATGGGAATGATGAAGTTGTATCATTCATAGAAACTGCAAATCACATTCCACATAGCGTGTATTGGCAAAAATCTGTTCTATTTGGATTACTGCTTCTCTTGGGCTTGGCTGAGAAGTACAATTTTATTAATATTTATTTTTATTTTATGTGTGTGAGTGTTTCCCTATACTTGGGTGTCTGGTGCTCATGGAGGCCAGAAGAGGGTGAAGGATAGATAACTTGTCACTGGAGCTACGGACAGTTGTGAGACATCATGTGGGTTCTGGGAACCAAACCCAGATCCTCTATTGAGCCATCTCATCAGCCCTGAAGAGCGAACTTTTTGAAGCCAACAAAAATAAAGCTTGTGGTTATATCTACTGGATCTGAAACTTGTATGTTTAACAGACTGTGGGGTAGAAGAATAACCATACAACCATAACTTTCCAGCACACCTATCCTTTCAAACATGTATGAATCAAGAAGTCTTCTCAAACCTGTATTTCAGTAAATGAATCCAATCAATGTTTTTTAACAGCATAAATGTCTATAATTCCCCAAAGTATGAGAATCACCCTGTTGGATCACTTCTGCTTGAGCATACCTGTGTTACTTAGTGTGCATACAAGGTAAGGTTCCTTATATGTAATTTGAACATGAACTGTGGTCAGATGGTGCATAATTGAGTTAAAGTCACCATTCTCTGAAGCAGAACATCACCATAACAGAATGAACTTCCAGAAGACAAATACGATGAAGACTGACCTCAGGAAAATTATTTAATGATTTTATTATTAAAAGTAATAATTTAAAATTTTGGACTTTAAGGTTAAGAACAAATCCTGATATAGTGCTATTTTCCTAAAATGATAGATTATTGAATCTACTCCGAAAAGAAAAAGGGAAGGCTAAAGACATAATAAGACAAAAGGTAAATTATTGAATCTATTCTGAAAAAAAGGGGGGATACAGATATAAAACAAAAGGGTATGTTATTGAGTCTACTCTTAAAAGAAAACAATTGAGGATATAGATATAAGACAAAAAGGTTATTGAATCTACTTTTAAAAAAGGAACTACTAGTTTTAAATATTTTACATTGGATTGGACCTTTCTATATTCTATACAAATCTTGTATATTAATACAAAGTTGAAATTAATTTTTTAGAACATGATGTACATACTTTTCTAACATTGTTCTAGGTATTGAACCTATATAGCTCATTTAACAATGTAATTTAAATTTCTAGTTCTTGAAAGTTATTATTACCAACTGTTTAGGATAATAAGGAAATGCAGGTTAGTAATTAGTCAACTACTACAATTAAATTTGTAGTCATATTAGGTATGTATGTTTTCAAGGTCAAAAGAAATATAATTTGGATAGATGGTCATCTTAAAACACTTCAGAGATCTATAGAATATGGCATTTAAGATGTTTTAATAACAATTATTTTTAATGACAATGCAACATGTCTGCTCTATTTCAGAGAAGATGACTGGCTTCGAAGAAACTCCACATGGAGTTTAATTTCTTTGTGGCAAGAAAGTGCCCTCGCCTTGACTGCTGACAGTATGCTATCCAAATTGGACAAGCAGGACATAAAAAGAGTGACTCCTAACCTTGCCAAGACAAGGCAGGACTGTCCTTCAAAAATTTTGCATCACAGAAAAGTCTGTCGAATATCTAGGCAATGCATATATGTACATGCCACTATTCCATGCCAAACAGGTACATGTGCACACTGACATAACTATTCAGGGGCTATTTTATTTCTCTATTTACTGGCTCCAAGCTGCACGCTTTTCCTTTATGCTCCTTTAGCCAAATATCTACCACAGTAGGAAATAATTTGAAGTTAATTGTCTGGGGATACCGGCTGTCTTCCATTCCCACTCCCTTTCACACTTGTCTGTCAATGTCTTGCCCTCTTGCTGTGTTTCCATTTTTCCCATGTCCCTTTTCTGTGCCTTCCTTCCCCTCTCTCCTGCTTGATCTCATTACAGAGAAAAGTGGCTGTGGCCATGAGAGGCTCCGGTGCTTACCGAACTGCTCCTCCTGCCTGCAGGGGGCGCTGTGAAGCGCAGCAACCGCCGCGTTCCACCCGCGCTGGGGGTGGCGCTGGGTTCGGGGAGAGTCGGAGTTGTGGCCTGGGCCCGGGTAGGAGCTGGTGCCCGCCTCATCGCAGGGGAGCGTGGGCGTTGCCAAGGCTCGGGTTAGGCGTGTCCGCGCTGGCCATGGCCGGACGCGCTCGGGTAAGGTCCCCGCGCCGAGCAGGTTTAGGGCCGGGGCGGGACCGAGGGCTGCGCGTGCGGCTGCGTGGGGACCCCAACAAAGCCGGGTCTGCGCCACCACCAGCAGCGACTTCACAATCTTCTCTCACTAGCAGAGCAAACAAACGCCTTCCGGGTTTGGGTACCCAAAGGTTTGCAGTGGTATCCTGCAGGTTTACGATGCCATTAATTTAGCCGCAGACTGGTGTTCATTGCTTTCACGTTGTGTGTGAGGGAAGGACTTCATGCTAGGAGGGTAGAAAAGGACATAAAATCTGCACGGATCACGCGCTGTTTGATTATTTCGTGTTTTATTTAAATCAGGGTGTGGAGGGAATGGCTGCTTTTTTGTTTTGTTTTGTTTCTTATTAATCTGTCCTAACTGCTCTGTTAAGCATTTCTTCATTATTAAGTAGTGCGGATATAATTAATTTTAAAACACTGTACTTTCTTAACGAATGTACAGTTTTTCAGGGTTATATACAAAAGATAGGCAGCACATTTATAAATAGAATTTTGGTAAATGGGAGATGGGACATTCCTGTAGATGGAAAAAATAAACAAAATATTCTTCCATAAATCCTTTTCAGTTTCATGAAATGACAGTTGTGAATTTATTAAAATAGATAATAAAGCTCAGCTGCAAAAATACAATAGTTCTTTCTAATTCACAGGATATGTTCTCTAATTCCCAGTGGAAGCCTAAAATGGAATACAGTTGGAGTTCTAATGTAATACCTACTGTATACTATTGCTGTAGAACTCTTGCAGCTTCAATTATTAAGGCAAAACTGACATGAAGTTTTTGGTGTTATCATCTTCACAATTTCACAGGTTGCTACAAAATTTAGCGACTTTAGCATAGAAATTTTTTTTAAAGTGGGAAACTTTCACTTTTTTCCTGAAGGAAACACTTTGAAGCTGGACCTGGCACTAGGGGGGGGGTAGGGGGGGGTGGAGGAGCAGAAGCAGGAGGATTGCTGCAAGACTCAGGCCAGTCAACTTGGGGCGTGAGACCTTGCTTCAAAAAACAAAACAAAATGCAACTTTACAGCTTTCCTTTGACATTTTTATCAGAATTACCACAATACCCACTCTTTCATTTTGGTGGCATTATTAATAAAAGGAAAGGTGGCTTTGCGTATGTAACATGGAGGGCAAATTGCTCTGAATGAGAGCTGTTAACCTAGTGTTTTTCACAGAAAAAAAAACTGCACATAAGCAGATAGGAAATTTTCTTTGTCTTTCCTTACTGCATCAGCCATGTTAGGACAAATTAGTGGGTTTGGTTTTGCTTTTGTATTTTGAGACAGGGTTTCTACATAGCCTTGGCTGTCCTGAAACTCACTCTGTAAATCAGGCTGGCCTGGACTCTAGAAATCCCTCTTGAGTGCTAGGGTTAAAGACATTCATTTCTATACCTGGCACAAAATTATTATTTTAAAATAAATGTTGCCGGGCATTGGTGGTGTATACCTTGATCCCAGCACTTGGGAGCCAGAGGCAGGTGGATTTCTGTGAGTTTGAGACCAGCCTGGTCTACAGAGCGAATTTCAGGACAGGCTCCAAAGCATACAGAGAAACCATACCTCAAAAAATAAAAATAAGTTAATGTTTGTAACACAAGTAACCTGCATTAACTTAAAATGTTGTGTTTTGCCAGGTGGAGGTGGCGGCCGACGCCTTTGACCCCAGCACTTGGGAGGCAGAGGCAGGCGGATCTCTGTGAACTTGAGGCCATTCTGGGCTATAGAGCGAGTTCCAGGACATCCAGAGCTAGAGAAACACTGCCTTTAAAAAATTGAAATAATACATACTTTAATAGTCATAGAAAACAAATGCATGTCAATAACTAATAAAGTTAAACTAAGCTTAAAAAAATCAGTAAGGTGTAGTAGGGGTATAGTCATATAGGAAGAGTATTTTTAACTAAAAAATATATAATTTGCATAGTTCTAATTATGAACTTCAGCATTTATTTTTCTAGTCAACCATGATAAACACAAATACTAAATAAACAATTTTGAGCTAGGGATATCACTCAAAAGTGAAGAAGTTGCCTAGCATGTGCAAGTTCCTGGATTCAGTCCCCCCCCCCCCCATACACACACACACACTTTAAAATTCAGGTTGTTTATATGCTTTAACTTAGTAATACTTCAGTTTAGGCTTTATTCTATGAAAGTAAATACATAAAGTTTACAGAAAATAACAGTGCATATATGACCCGAATATGATGTAATTATGCAGTTTACCCCAATGTGAGTTTACTTCCTTATATTGATCTGAAAAAATGGCCATGACACATTAAGTGAATGAAGTTTCACACTGATTTGGTTTCATGTTTGTGAAGAACATGCCATCCCATACATACAAGACGTATATTTTGAAGATATGTTCAAGATGGATATAGTAGTGATTGCAGAGCATAGATTAGGGAAACAAATACTTTTGTTTATTTATTTAATTAAATTTTTCCTTTATTTTTTGTTTTATGTATGTGAGTCTTTTGTCTGCGTGTGTGTCTGTGCACCGTGTGTGCAGTGATTGTGGAAGCAGAAGAGGGCATTAGGTTTCCTGGGACTGGAGTTAAAGATGGTTGTGAACTACTATGGGGGAGCTGGGAATTAAACCTGGATCCTCAGGAAGAGCATCCAGTGCTCTTGACTGCTGAGCCATCTTTCCAGCCCACAAACCACTCCCCCCTCCCCCTACTGAGACTATGGTCTCATTGCACAGTCCTGGCTGTCCTGGAATTCACTCTATAGACCAAGCTGGCCTCAAACTCACAAGGATCCACCTGCCTTTGCAAATCACTTTTGTGGAAGAGACTGCTGAGTCAAAAAACAGCTGTTCACTATGTGAATCTCAAATGATGATGAGAATGAACTGGAGTCACTTGTAGCAATCATAACTGTATCTGTATAATGTCTTCACTTCAGTTTCCACTGACTTTTGAAGATGTGGACATTTATTTCTCTGAGCAAGAGTGGCAGTATTTAGAAGCATGTCAGAAGGAACTTTACAAGCATGTCATGAGAACCAATTATGAGACTCTTGTCTCTCTAGGTAAGGAGCTTTCAACTTCTGGGGTGAGACTTGCAACTGGATCTTTTGAGAGCCCCTAAGTTACTTGATACTCCAGTTAGGTAGCAAGGTTGCTTAGGTACTAACCCAGAAAGGCTTTTTATCTCTTTGTTGTTGTTGTTAATAATAAAGTACACATTACCCTTCTTTACTCAGGACAGTATTTAAGACGACATGTGATGTCACATAGTCAGAGGTAGTTAAGGCATATGTTAAAATGTTGACCATTATAATTTACTCTGAAATTGCTTAATTTTCCACCAGGAAGCACACCTGCCTCATGCCCATAAAGTACCTGTATGCCTTCTTGCAGTTTTATAGTGGGGTTAACAACAGCAAGAAACTAATGGTCTTCCATGTGGTATAGTCAAAAAGAGTGCATACTCTGTATAGGAGAATGTGTACTTTTTCCTTTGGCTCTATCATCATCATCATCATCATCATCATCACCACCACCATCCTCACACTCATCCCACCTCTTCCTGTGTGTGATTCTGGAGATAACATCCAGGTCTTTGCCTGTGCTAGGCAAGGGCTTTACCACTTACACCTCCTTTATAGTTTGTATTTTTCTTGCTGTTTAACAGTTTGTTTTTTTTTTTTTTTTTTTTGAAACAAGGTCTCACATACTGTATAGCTGAGGCTGGCTTAGAACTCACTCTGTAGACCAACGCGCCCTCTAACTCACAAAGGACTCTTTGATTTGAGCACTGGGATTAAAGGTGTGTAGCACACACCTTTATATAGTACACCCTCGTAGGATATGCTGAAGAGGCAAAGGCAGAAGGATTATAAATTCAAGGCTAGCCTTGGCTACACATTTGTGGGCATTGTGGTTCACATTTGGGATCCAGAGGCATGTGCATCCCTGTGAATTTGAGGCCATCCTGGTCTATGTAATGAATTCCAGGACATGATGGGCTACAAAGAGATGAAGAAAAAAATAAATAAAAGTGGGAACCATATGCCTTGTTGGTTTTTCTTATTTATCAAATGAATTTTTAAATAAGTCTGGAGCTGGAGACATGACTCAGTAGGTCAGTAGGGAAAGCACTTGCCTTGGCAGCATGGAAATCTAAATTTGTGTCCTCAGAACCCACAAAAAAAAAAAAAAAAAAAAAAAAAAAAGATGGGTACAATGGCACATGCCTATTTATAATCCTTTCCATAGACCAGGTGAAAGGTCAAGACAGGTGGATCCCTAGAAGATTGAAGGCCATCTACCCTGACCTACATGACAAAACGTTTCAGGCTAATGACAGATCCTGTCTCAAAATTTAAAAGCTGGAATGTAACAGGTCTTTGTTTGGACTGCTGGCTCCCAAATAATGACACAGAGACTTTTTATTAATTATGAAAGCCTAGCCTTAGCTTAGGTGTGTTCTCAACTAGCTCTTAAAACTTAAAATAGTCCACTTATATTAATCTACATTCTGCTTCATGGCTCATTACCTTTCCTCAGTACCATATGTCTAATTTCCTCCAAGTTTGGTTGATGAATTTCCTGTCTCAGACTCTTTCTCAGAGTTCCTATCTGTGCTCAGAAGCCCCGCCTATCCTCTCCTGCCTAGCTATCAGCCATTCAGCTCTTTATGAAACCAATCAGGATGTCTTAGGTGAGGATGGGCAGAGACGTATGTTCACAGAGTTTACAAAAAGATTATCCCAGCAGTGGAAGGTGTCCTAAAAGCCAATACCCACGTTTGTCCTTTGACTTCCACATACATGTCATGTACCCACTACATACACACATACAAAATCATGCATAAAAATTAGCCTGTTCAAAAGGAGTCAAGACCATGATGGGGAAACCCACAGAATCAACTAACCCAAGCTAGTAAGAGATCACTGATTCCACACTGCTAACTAGAGAACCAGCATAGGCAGCGGGACTTTGTGGAGCTCAGCCTAGACAGACATGTGGTGGGGTGGTGGTGTGCTTTGGTCCTGCCTCAAAGAGGTAATGGGACAGACTTAGTTGACATCCTAGGGGAGGTCTTATCCTCTCCAAGGATCAGATGGGAGGGACAGACTTAGTTGACATCCTAGGGGAGGTCTTATCCTCTCCAAGGATCAGATGGGAGGTGAAATGGGGTGAGGGTGCATGAGGACAGGAGGGGAGGGAAATGGGATTGGAATGTATAAAATACATTTAAAAAGATAAAAATTAAAAAAAAATTAGCCTGTCAGTTAAGCATAAAAGACAAAAGGCTCCTGTTTCTTTTTTCTTTCTTTCTTTCTTTCTTTCTTTCTTTCTTTCTTTCTTTTTGATGTATGTGTACAAATGTTTGCTGCATGTATGTCTGTGCACCACGTGTGTCTGGTGCCTAAGGAGGCAAGAAGAAGGTGTTGCTGTCCCTGGAACTGGAGTTACAGGTGATTTTGAACCACTGTGTACGTACTAGAGATTGAACTGTTGTCTTCTGGAAGAGCAGCCAGTGCTCTTAACGACTGAGACATTACGCTACCTCCAAAGCAGAAACTTTACCATTTCTGTTTTCATTGGTAAACAGTTCCTTTGCACTAAATATGGTAGCACTCATTTCTTGGTTTAGTAGCTTAATTAAGTAGATGATCAATTAATTTGAAAAATAAAATATTTCCTTACTTATACTATCCCTCCTTTATTTTTCACCTTCCCAGTTTTTGATAGGTTTTTTATGTGTATCTATTGGATAGTTTTATAATTGAAAATAATATATTTAAATGTCTAGATTATATCCTATTAACTTTTTTTGCCAGGATAATTTTAATTTTATTATTATTATCCTATGTGTATAAATGTTTTGTCTACATGTTTGTCTGTATACACGTGCACATGGTGCACACAGAGACAAGAAAAGGGTGTTTGATCCCCTAGAATGGGAATTACAGATGGTTATGGGTTGCCATTGAATACTAGGACCTGAACTCCAGTCCTCTGAAAGAGCAGCAAGTACTCTTAACCTCTGAACCATTTCTCCTGTCCATAGATTAATTTTAAAAGGATTTGCAGAGATTACGTTTAATTCACTATTAATTCTTTTCTTTTTCTTTTCTCCTCCCCCCTTTTATTGAAGATATGTGGGGGGTTTTTGTTTGTTTGTTTGTTTTTTGCAGACAGGGTCTCTCTGTGCTCTGGTTGCCCTGGAACTCACTCTGTAGACCAGGCTAGCCTTGAATTCACAAAGATCCACCTACCTCTGCCTCCTGAGTGCTGGGATTAAAGGCGTGTGCCATCACTGATTGGCAGATTCTTTTTTATGCACATGTTGATTACAGTTTTCTTCCTATCTGGATCAATGTCCTTTCCGTCTCTCATTAAAAAAAGAAGAACAAGAAGAACAAGAACAGCCTTCTAAGGGATAATAATAAAATATACATGTTCTACTAACTTTATATCATGTAACTGTGTTTAAAGATGAGGTAATTCCTTTGACATTCTCATCCATGTCTCCTGCTTATCCATGACAGCCACATCTACTTTCTATTATAAAGTTTCTGACACATATTCTTTCATCATAGTTAAGTTTTCTAGGTTCTATCTATGGATTATTCCTAAAACATGTAACCCATGACATTGTTTTTATTTTATACAAGAACCAGTTAAAGCAATTGAACTGATAGAGAAAGAAATATAATCTACACTGACAGCCCTGGGCCATCCCCAAATATGCCTCCAAGGCATTAGGCTCAAATGAGCCTAATTTTTTATTATACTCTTCAGTTATTAAAAATCATGTTTCATTTTAATTTGCTTCACTATTAGGCAATGACCTGTTGTGAATTTGATTTCTAATTGCTTTCTCCTTTACTCATGCTTTTATTTATCCCTCAGATTATCCATCCTCTTTGTCATATATACCTTTATGCCTCTGTCAGTTTGCTTCAAAATAATCTATATATTCAAAACAGTTCCACTCAAAGTCCAAGAATGACTTCTCATGGTCTATAAGCTGATCATAAGAAGCACAGAACAAAGGGCCAAGAGCAACCAAGGCAGTTTTTTTTTTTCTTTTGTAAGATGGAAGGTGGTAAGATAGATACTAAGCCTATGTTAGAGATAGGAAAATATCTGGCAGGACTCACATGACCAACATATGTTGCAAATGAGATAATAAAACTCCATAACCACTTGGAAAAGCAAGTTGGGAATATGTGGTAAAGTTGACACACATAGTTATATAGCAGCTCACTTTAATGAATATCAGTATCTATGATATTCTTTTTTTTTAATTTTATGTGTTCATGAATATGTTGTCTCTGGAGCTATAGTCATTTGTGAGCTGCTGTTTGGGTGCTAGGAACTGAGCCTGGGTCTTCTGGAAGAGCAGATCTCTGTGAGTTTGAGGCCAGCCTGAACTATGTAATAAGACATCATTAAAAGCAATTGCCCTTTTGTTTTTGAATGAAATAAAACACCATTAAATATGTGGAGAATATGAAAACTAGCACAATTGGTATAACATGCCCTGATAGATGGGTAAGTCTATTTGTTGACATCTCATATATTGTTCCAGAAGTAGATTTTGAGAAATTTTAAAATGACATGCTTTATAACACTCAAGCCAAACTACCCTGTCTGACTTCTCTGTACAGATAATGGACATCCAAAACCAGAACTAATATCCTGGATTGAACTTGGGAGAGAGCTCTTTGTCATCTGGGGAGAAAAGCAGAACCTAGAGAAAGGGATTTGCTTCTCTACAGACGATGTGCACTTTCATCTAGTTATTGAGGAATGGTTATTTGAGAGTGAGTATTAAGAATCTAGTGTCCTAAAATGGATGATCGGAGCTCAGAGTTGGCCTCATCAGCATAGTGAGTTCAAGTCTGAACTACATGAGACACTGTCTCAAAAAAGAAAGGAAGAAAGGAAAAGAAACCATGGTCTTAACCTAAACACATCACATTCAGATTTCCTTCCTTCCTTTCTTTCTTTCTTTTTTTTTTTTTTTTTTTCTTCTCTGATCTTTTCTTCCTTTTTTTTTTTTTTTTTGGCCTGAGTCTTGTTGTGTATATTTTAGAGAAAGGTAGTAAAGCATAGGTATGTGAACTTTGAAGCCTGAATCTGATCTCCCCTTTTGTAGTTGACTGTCATAGTTACTTTTCTATTGTTGGTCAAAACACCATGACCCAGACAGTGAATAAAAGAAGGCATTTAATTGGGGCAGATGGTTGCAGTAGCTTAGGCCATCATGGCAGGGAGCACAGCAGCAGGCAGGTCTGCCGCTGGGGCAGTAACTGAGAACTTACATCTCATCCACAAGCAGAGGCAGAGAAAGCCAACTAGGAATGGCATGGACTTTGGAAATCTCAAAGCCTAGTGACACAACTCCTCCAATAAGGCCACACCTCTTAATCCTTGCCAAACAGTTCTAACAATTAAGGACCCCATATAAAAACATGAGTCTGTCAGGTCATTCTCATTCAAACTAGCACAGTGACTTTGGGCCAGTTAGTAGTATTTAAACTCCTTATGTATAAAATGGAGTAAATCCAAGAACCTATAGTATAGTGTTAGAAAGGAATAATCTGTATAGTGCTGAAGTAGTTATTAATGGAAGCTGTTTTCACTAATGGATTGGAAAGAACAAGGCTGAGACTGGCTTTCCCTGTCTTTGTGATCAAAGCAGTCTTTGAGTGGTGAACCCCTATAGTATCAAAAGAGAAGTTACATACTACCAATATACCATGGTGTGGTATAATAATTACTATTCCAAAAGTGAAGAATGGGGGGTATAGCAAGAAAATAGAAGACCAAAGCAAGACCCATATCCAGCAGGGCAAATCAAACCCTACAGCTCTATCATATATATATATTATAATTATTAATATATATATTAATTATGATATAGTCATTTGGGCTCCATTGGCCTGGGGCAGCTCCATCTCTCTAGCTCCGCCTCTGTAGTACATATTAAGCTCTCTCTTGGGCCAGCTCCAGTTTGTTTCTGCAATTTTCCCGAGTTGTGGCATTTCTAACATTCTTGGGCTTTACCTTCCTAGTTTCATACAGTGACCTCTCAGACTCCGTACAGGAAATCTGACCCTGCCACAGATTGTCTGACCTCAGTAGCTTTGCAGAAGTGTGTGAGGCAAACCTTTATCACCCCCTTTATTCCTACATTATTCATGATGACAAAAACCAGTAACACATGAAGAACACTGCCAAGTTCTGTTGCCAACTTGAGATGTAGCCTGGCCCCTCTTGACCACATTTACAACACCTTCTGTGTGATGACCATGTTTCTGTTGGCATTCTGGTCTGCCAAATTCCCAGCAGAATGGCCTGTTAAGCTCTGCTTATGTCATTCTATGGCTTCACTTGTCTGAAACTCCATTCTCTTCCACATTTCCTCCTACAAACCAAATCTATGTGGTCAGATTTATCACAGCAATGACCCCAATCATCAGTGCCAGTTTTCTGTATTTGTTACCTTTCTAGTTGTTGTGATTAAATACCTTACAAATAGCAAGTTAAGAAATGAAGGGTTTATCTTGACTCTTGGTTTGTAGGGATACAGTCCATCATGTGGGGGGAAGACCATGGTGGCAAGAATGTTTAGTCTCTGATCACATTGCACCTATAGTCAGGAAACAGAGATAGGTGAATGCCTGCACTCAGTTCTTTCTTTCTCTTTCATATTATTAAATCTAGGACCCCATCCCATGAAATTGTGCCATCCATATTCAGGGTGATCCTTCCTTGGTTAAACCTCTCAGAAATCCCCCACATATATCCAGAGGTGTATTTCAATGGTGATTCTAAACAATAAAGAATCACCATCACAGACAGGGACAAAGAACCACAAAGATAGCATGTATCTGTGGTGTTTGTTAGGGCTGTGTCAGGGTCTCAGTGCCGCTTTTACATTCTGATTCTAAGATGTTGAATGTTCCTGCAGACTGGTTAACAGTTATGGAAGAAGCAGTGTATCAGGTACCATATTAACTCACTCACAACCCTCCTTATGTGCTTTTTTCCTATTTTTTTTTAAATTTATGTATATGGATGTTTTGTTTGCACACCAGAAAAGGGCATCAGGGCTCATGGAGCTACAGCTATAGATAGTTGTGAGCCCTCCGTGTGGGTGCTGAGAATTGAACTCACAACCTCTAGAAGAGCAGTCAGTGCTCTTAACCACTGAGCCATCTCTCCAGCCCCTTAGACTTATTTGTCTGTTTTATACATATGTATTGTCCTGTTTTTATTTATTTTTATTAGGCCAGGCATGGTGGTGCATGCCTTTAATACCAACACTTGAGAGAGAGAGACAGGCAAATCTCTCTGAATTTGAATCTGGCCAACACTATATGGCAAGTTCCAGGCCAGCCTGGGCTACATAGAAATACCATGTCTCAAAAAGAAATTAATAATTTATTTTATTATTTATGTGCATGGTATGTATGTCTGTGAGTTTATGTGATCTGTGTGCATGCAGTGCCAACAAAGGCCAGAAGTTGGAGTTGAATCTTCTGGAATTAGAATCATCAAGTGGGTTCTGGGAATAGAACTTGGGCCTTCTGCAAGAGCAGTCACCATTCTTAAATCACCTATCCATCTCTTCTGCCCTGTTTCCCTGTTTTTACACCACAAAGAGCCCCAAACCAGAAGCAATCAGCCTGGCAAGGTTTGCACAGCGGGCAGATGGGATTCATACCTATCTAGTCTGTTTCTAGGCCTTAGACCCTACCTTTGAGATTTATATTTTCATCTTCTCACTTTAGTCATAACCGAGATCTGCTCAGTGTAGTTTCTGCAAATGGTGACCAAACTCATTTTGGTCATTAAGTAGAACCACATACCGTGTTTTGTAGTTTAGTGGGAGCAGGATGCTCCAACCACCACAGTTGACTGTTTCATGGATTACTTTACTGGTGATGGCTCGGTCATGTCATAGACAAAACATACTTAATTCTTGTTTCAGGTAGTCAGCAAGCTGTGAAGTCAAGAGAAACCACATGCCACCTTCAGTTAAATCTTGAAAGTCAGCATTCCTTTGGGCTTGTTTTAGGAGAAAAGGAAGCTGTTTCCTTTAAGCATGACCAAGGTGCCAGTCTTGTAAATGCACAGATATGCAGCCTTGGGACTCTAGTTTCAACAGTACAAAGTTCCAATGAAGCTGCCCAGAGAAAAGGACTCTTGAGTCACAGAACTCTGGATCTCCCTGGCTTGCAAAAAGTTCCCTCTTGGCAGAGTACCCAACCCTTTTGTTCTGTCTGTGGGAAAAACTCTTGGAAGCACCAAAAGGGATACCCCAAGAACCCATCATGTAAGGTCTGGTAGATGTTCAGCAGGCAGACTGATGCACAACAGCAGGAGAACTTCGCATGTCCTGAATGCGGGAGGAGCTTCTGCATGAAGCAGTATTTGGTGGGACTTCTGGATGCTCATACAAGGAAGACCCCACTTTAGTGCCCTGCATGCAGTATGTGTTCCCACCATGATCTCAAGCACAGTTCTTCCCAGAATCCCAAATATGACAAGGGCTCCCCAATGGATAGCAATGTTCACCAATGCCAGCAGAGCCAAGAGAGGCCAGCCTCCTGGAAGGAAGACACCATCATTCCCTCAAGACAAAAGCCAGGTCCCAGCCTGGACTGCTGCCACAAGGGTAGCAAGCTGAAGGCCCTGCAGTGTGGCTGCTGTCTAGGTGAAGACAGACCCTGCTCATACACAGAATATGGTAGTTGCTTTCTTTCACAGTCTAAGCAGACCAGCCTTTGCAAGGCACACACAGGAGAAAAATCTTTTCAATGTCCCAACAGCAACACCTGCCTCTGTCCGAGAGACCTGCAAAATGTCGACCAGCATGTGCATAGAGGGGAAAGAACATTCTCCCATAGAAAGTGTGGTCAGGGCTTCATCAGGCATTGCAAACTCACAGACTATACCCAAGACCTCAGCCTGGTGAAATGTTTCTGGTGTGCCCAATGTGAAAGGAAATTCAGCCAAAAGAAACCATTGCTGAGGCACCAGCAGCTTCACCCAGAGGAAAAGCCATTTCAATGCACAACGTGTGGGTTATGCTTCCATCTGAAAAGCTGATTGAGAGCCCACCAACTGCCGCATGGTGGAGAAAGGCCATTCTCCTGCAGCAAGTGTGGCCGAGGCTTCATGCATCAGTGCAAGCTCCGTGAGCATCTCCGAGTACACAGCGGAGAGAGGCCCTTTCAGTGTCCTGAGTGCCGCAAGAGCTTCTGCTTGAAGGGCATCTTGAAGGCCCACCAGCATACTCACAGCAAGGAGAGGCCATTCTCTTGTGCGGAGTGTGGCAAAGGCTTTACCAGACAGTCTAAGCTCATAGAGCATTTCCGTGTCTAGAGTCCAGTGTCTAGAGTGTGACAGGAGTTTTCGCCTAAATGGGCAGCTGCTTAGTCATCAGTGCCTACACACAGGAGAGAGACCCTTCCAGTGCCCAGAGTGTGGCAAGAGCTATCGTGTGAAGGCTGACATGAAGGCACACCGGCTGCTGCACAGTGGGCAAATGCCAGTGTGGGAAGGGCTTTGCCAAACAGTCTAAACTCATGGAACACATGAGAACACACACAGGAGAGAAGCCTTTTCAGTGTCCTGAGTGTGATAAGAGTTTCCAATTGAAGGCTCAGCTGCTCAGCCACCAAAGCCTGCATACAGGCAAGAGACCTTTCCACTGCCCTGAATGTGATAAAAACTTCCGGGAAAGGGTCACATGCTGAGGCACCAGCGCATCCACAGGCCTGAGAGGCCCTTTGCCTGTGGAGACTGTGGGAAAGGTTTCATTTATAAGTCCAAACTAGCTGAGCACATTAGAGTACATACAAAATCCTGTCAGGTTCCACATGAGCCTGACATGAAGAAAAGGCTTGGCCAACTGTTTGCAATGATAGAGGCTGACTGGAGTTGAGGTATATGGGACATCAAAGGTGTGAGCAGAGCTTAATTGCCAGGGTAGCCTGAAGAATGGAGGCTAAACCCACTGCAAAGCATGTTTTAGGAAAAAGGAGCTCTACATTGATCAAAAAATAATACAAATTAAAAATGGGAAACTAATAAGAATTTTCTTTTGAAATACAAATTAATATTTTCTCTCCCTTGGTAAAAAGAGGTATTTGTTCTTCCTACTGACTTAGGTGGTTTTCACCTAAGTGCAGTTAGCTCAAAAGTGCTCTTAATCCAGTACCACTGTCAAGCTTAAAAAGGGCAGTCTGTTTAATATCAAATCTATTCTTTTGTTCTTTTTTTTAGAGTATGGCTCTAAACAGTTAAATCCAGCAAATTTTATTTCTGTTGTGATATACTTTTGAACTTACTTTGGACTCACTTATTTTTAAACCGAAAGCAATAAGATGATTTTTCTGAATTTCCTGTGAGTGCTGAAGTGTCTCATTGGTGATTATTGAGTTGAAGGAAAAAAACAAAACAAAACAAAACAAAAAAACAAAAACAAAGAAACAAAAAAAAAAAAAAAGCAAAGGTGTTGAGAGGTTTGGATACAGATCAGCGGTTGAGTCAGTGCATAGACATTTGTGAGTTCCAGAATGGAGATGCTATTTGAAACAAAAATGATGTTCTCAAGAATGAACTGATTAAAGTTTATGCAGAAAACAAAACAGATATCACAATATATGAATGATTTATACTCTTAAATCTTTTCTCAAATCTTTTCAAACTATAGAAATCAGATCAGAAAGGGTTTTTTTGTTTTTGTTTTTGTTTTTTGTTTTTTGTTTTTGTAAATTTCAAACTCTAATGTTACAGAGAAGGAAACAAAGCCATCATACATTCTCCCCCACAGCCTCAGGCTCAGTTGGTGATTGTATTGAGGTCCCCCATCATACCTGCCCAGCAGATTCTCACTAGACCAGTCTGGCCTCAACTCACAGAGATCTACTGCCTCTGTCCCCCAAGTTCTAGGATTAAAGGCATGGGCTATCATGTAGAGCTCACTGGACTTTTTAGAGGTCTCATTCAAAGGCAGGGATTTCTTGCAATACACTTAATTGAAAATCGGGAAATTCATGTGATGATCTGTCGATAATAAATACCTCAAACCCAACCCAACCCTACTACCTAACTAGCTAATTACAGAAGGGAGAGAAAGAGGATTGCTTTTTCAACTATAAAAGAATAGCACCAGGGGAAAAGAATGGACAACACCAAATGCTCAGTTTGAAAATCACAGGCACGGTACCAGCAGCATCTTGGATGAGATCAAAAGGTGGATAAGAAGGGAATGTTCAGATAAGGAAGATAGGTCAGTGATTAGTGAATTGTGATTTGGGAGACAAATGTTTTAGGGACAAAATGGAAACTTCTATCAGCTTGAATGCAATTCCTTGCCTCACTCTTTATCAAGACAGGTTTTTGTTATTGTTTGTTTGTGTTTTGTTTGTTTTAGAGACAGGGTTTCTCTGTGTAGCTTTATAGACCAGGCTGGCCTCGTACGCACAGAGCTCTCTCTGCCTACCTCTGCCTCCCAAGTGTTGGAATTAAAGGTGTACACCACCACCTCCTGCTGTTCGTTTTTTGTTTGTTTGTTTGTTTTGTTTTGTTTTGTTGTTTTTAAAATTATTTTATGTGTATGGGTGTTATACCTGCATGATGTCTGTGTACAATGTGCATGAATGGTGCCCACAGAGGCCAGAATAGAGTGTGTAGTGTGCTCTAGATCTGGAGTTATGGACTGCTGTGAGCTGTCATGTGCGGGCTGGGATTCAAACCCAGATCCTCTACAAGGACAGCAAGTGTTCTTAACTGGTGAGCCATTTCTCCAGCCCCCTTTATTGGTGTAGTATTTACTTATTCGTATTTACTTATTCATCTGTATGTGTTCATGTGTGAAGGCCAATTCATGTGCCGTGGTACTTTGTATAGAGTTGAGAGGACAACCTTTGGTGTCCATCCTATTTTTCTACCTTGTTTAGGAAGGGCCTCTTTTTGTTTGTCTCTGTGCTGTGTACTCCAAGTGAGTAGGCCCTAGGGCTTTAGGATTGACCCGTCTCTGCCTTGTACCTCACAATGCAAATGCTGGGATTACAGACATGTACCACGGTGTCCAGCATTTTATTTTAAAATTATTTATTTAATTATGTGTATGTATATGGATTTGTTCAACTGAGTGCTTGTGCACTGGAGGCCAGACTCATGGAATCCCCCTAGATGTAGAGTTACCGGTGGTGAACCAGCAGAATATACTCTTACCACAACCCCTGGGCCATCTCTCCAGAACTGCATGCAGTTTTGCTGATCCAAACAGAGACCAACTGCTAAACCATCTGCCCAGTCCAGAAGTCTGGCCTCTAAAATTCTTCCTCAAATAGAATAAAATATTACAAAATGTATACAGTATTGTACATCAAAAGCTACTTGGCACACAGGTTATTTTTTTAATAGATTTGAAGTGAAGAAATAAAGTGGTAGAATCCAAATTCAGTGTCATGCAATCTGACTCCAGAGCAGACTTAAAATTTGATAAACTTCTGTTTTTAATATAAAAGTATGCTTTTAAAATATTTTAATGCTTAATTTCTAAAGATTCCAACAGTGCTTATCATTTTAGTAGCAGCATCAAATACTTAGAATACTCTAGTATTTAATACCAATGAAATTTAAGGAGTATACTTTTCTTAAGGGGTTGGGATTATGGCATCATGGTAGTACACATATATGAGGACTTGGATTGGTCCCCAGCACAAACAAATTTAAGGATTAATTCAGCTGATAAGATTTTAAAAATTAGTGGTCAGTACCCTAGGCATAATAAGGAAAAACTGAGCCAACTCTCCATTTCTACAAACGTAGAAATAGCTTAATAAGAGCAATCCTCTGCAAATAATAATAACACTTAGATTTGCCAACCCTGTGTAGAACGTCACTGGACATACCTAAATGTGAACCTTGCCCTATGACCTTAGCTATAGGAAAATGCAATTAAAATCAAATTTAGAATATTACTATATTCTAAAACATGATCATAGAATCTGAGTATGAAGAAGAATATAGTAGGCAGCCTCAGACAGCTTCTAAGCAGATAGTTCTGAGGGTAGGTCCCAGAACATATTTTAGTCTAT